ATATATCGATTATTCTGTTCTTTTAACTTATCACACGTTGATCCGTAACAGAAAGTGGGGGTTTGTCCGACGATTTAATATAGTTTAATTCTTAATTTAATATTTACTTTTATTTGAAATAACATCCGTTTTTCAAAATGGTATTAAATACCGGAGATTTGATTGGAAATCCAACTGTAGGAAATTATTAAAATTAAAAATGGCTTGTTAGAACTAGGTCAGCACTTTAGACATAACTGATAATATGAAAAACCAGAGATAAAGACTGTCGTTCGGCTATCTTCAGGTGGTGGAATATGCGTTAACTTCAGATACTGATCCTTTAAAATTGAAGGAATTGGAACAGCAACATAAAATTAGAGAATTGGAAATAGAATTTGAAATGGATTTAAAGCTTAAAGAATCAGATATTCAGGTCAAAAAAAAGAAAGAATTAGAATTAAGACAATTAGAACAAAGAAATAAACTAGATTGAAATAAATTCGATGTGGTTAAATATGTTAGATTTCTTCCACCTTTTGATGAAAGAGAAGTGGATAAATGTTTCCTACACTTTAAAAATATTGCAAAAAGTTTAGATTGGCCAGTAAATTCATGGACCATATTATTACAAAGCATGCTCGTTGGCAAAGCCACAGAGATATATAGTTCATTATTTAGTGGGCAGTGTTTGGAATATGACGAATTAAAAGGCTCAATTCTAAATGTCTACGAGTTAGTTCCTGAGGCTTAAAGGCAAACATTTCGAAATTGTAAAAAGTCAAATGCTCAAACATTAATCGAATTCGGTAGAGAAAAAAAAAGATTATTTGAAGGTTTGTATGATAGCAGAAAGGTTGCTAGTGATTTCGAAAATCTGAAACAGTTAATATTAGTTGAAGAATTTAAAACGTGTTAATGCAAACATTAAAACACGTTTATGAATAGAAAATCGACATGTTGTCTCTTGCGGCAATTGCAGCAGACGACTATTCACTCACCCACATGGTCACATTAAATACAGTTCACAGACAAAGTAATCACAACACATATCCTAAGTTTTTCAAATAAACTCAGCCAGCGACAAAGCTGTTGTTTCGGGTGATGAACCTGCCAAGAAATCTGAACCAGTTTGTTCCTACTGTAAAAGGCCTGGTCACATTTTATCCGAATGTTGGATACTTCAAAGAAGGAAAGGGCGAAAGATAAAACTTTCCTTAAATCAGTTGGATTTATTCAAGAAAAGTCAGTCAAATCCGATCTACCCGATGTTTTTGGAACCTATAATCCGTTTATTTCCGAAGGTTTTGTGGCTCTGATAGACGATAACGCCAACCTGTAAACTGTAAAAAAATTACCAGATACAGGATGACGTAACCATTTTGGGGAATGAGTTAGCTAGCGAGCGATAAAGTGGTAGTCAATCCACTCATATCCAATAAACCGATAGAAAATGATTTCGAAACTGGCATTTTTCCTTCATGTGCTGTAACTCGTGCTATGGCTAAAGCCGCCGATGAGTTATCAGATACCATTTTTGACAAATTTATACATAATTCTCTTGATGTGGACGATTTTATTTTAAAACAATGGGTGTTGACAAGTTGTCAAAAGAGTTATTAATTCTAGAACAAGCAAGTGATCCCGATACCAAGGCACTTTTTGATAAAGCAGTTCCTAATGATGAAATAGCTAATATGAACTAATTTTTGGTCACACTGTTCGTTGACCACGGAAAAAGTACAAAGAGCTCGTTGATGACCAACAGTATAGTTTGTTGAATTATGTAGCTGAATCTAAAAACAAACCGAACTAGATCTGCATAGCAGATATCAAAGCTTTCATATAAACTTCAAAAGGGGTTATTAGAATCTATGAATCATCAACCACTCTGACGGATGTAGAAAGGAATATATTGTTACTAAATCTGTTGTACTGTTTCTTGTTATGGTAAAGAAAACATGAATACAACTATGAGATTTGTATAGAATTGGCATTAATCAATATATTTATTGTTTAATACTACATGTATATTATAGATACAAAGTGAATTAAATGAACCCAATTACATGTACTTTATATAAGCAATGTTTTTTTATTCATCGTTACTTTGAAATCACATTATTTTCATTGATGATAAAAAGGTTGTATTTGTACCGAATCCAAAAAGTATGTTGTTTGACATTGCATTATCTGTACCAATTATTTATTTGCAAACCAATATACAATGTTTATTTCTACTCCAATATATTTGTTTCAACCCATGATAGTTTATTCACTCTTCTCACTTAAATACAAGAATAACACACGATTAAATTACTGAAACAAGTAATGCTGGTAGATTATAATTTGATATTGTATACCATTTACTCTCTGTTAGATAAGGCGACGTGGTAATCTGTTAGATAAACATACATGGAAGTATATGTTAGATAACTACAATTTATGGTATATTTTAAACCAAGGAAGTGGCCTTTCTAAAAATAAAAAAAAATAAAGGAAAATATATTTCATACAATTGTTATACTGTTACTGTTATCGTGAAGAAACATGATTGTTTATTTAATGTTGTTTATGACAAACATGTAATCATGTACATTTTTTAAATAAGAACAATTATGCTACATGTATGAATAACTCTCAAAAATTATGTTTTCATCAATCCAAGTATTTTTTTATTTGTATTACTTGATTTATATTGAATAAAGATTACACAAACATACAAAATGGTGTTGGCTGTGTGACTGAATTCCTCGTTGAGAAGTGGTATCGGGTGTCCCATAGAGAAGAAGCAAACCCTCCTTGTGATACACTTGTGAACATTTTAAAAGACCCATTTCGCTGTGTTCCAGAAAAATCCCCATTATAGCTAGTGCATTACATGGTTGTTGTTGGGGGAAAGGTGGGTCTTTTCTATTGGCAATGATTTACTTTTTATAGGCCCACATTGAAATGTGGTCGTATATTGTCGTCGCCCCCCTTTTGCTGTCAATATCCGATTGACTTTAAATTTATACGCAGTGTTTAAGGTCATAAGACGAAGAAGCCTTTGATTTGCTCTGCCCAGGCAACGTTCCTGTGCTCCGATTGCCTTCAAATATGCACAGAGTGTACCTTGGGATTCTAGCTATCACATATTAAAAATAGAAGAGTGTTGGATTCCGAGAACGTTCAAAATAAATTCAAAACCCGCCCCCAACAATCAAAGGTTTTTTGCTTAAAAAATTGCCGTATTTTATCGAATTTTTATTGTTCTTGATATCTGAGGATTTTTCTCAATTTAGTATGTGATAAATATCATCGCGGCGCAGCCAACCGCTAGAAATTCCAGAGATTTGGACCACCGGAATGATGCCTCAGCAGTCAAAAAAGGTCAAAATAGGCGATTTCGGTTTCTAGTGTCGATACATCGTTACGGTCATTTTAAAAAATTGTCTTTTAAGGATAATGTGTATAGTACCAGTACCTATCACATACGGAAGAGGCGATAAAATCTCTTTGCATTTGCAATTTCAAAATTAATTAAAACCAATATTAAATTCCGAAAATCGTTTTTTTGCTAAAACTTTTTTTTTTTTAATCGGATCAAAATGGGAGTAAGGCACAGAGTCCGGGGTGGTAATGGGCGTATTGTGTCCAAATTTCATGGTTTTCGGACAATCGGTGCCGGTGTCACGGCGAAATTCCACTTTTTTCCCCTCATGGAAGCCGTAAATTGACTTAGAAAAAAAACGACGAAAGGCAGGTGACAAGAACAAACGACTTGAATGAATGCAGGTATCACCTTGAAATTTTCAGGGTACCTAGGTACCAACGTGAAAAGTTGCTCGCCGGAATTTAGTACTCATGGTACCTTTGGTTCCAGAGTAGCGCATGCGCGAAGTCAAATCCAGCTAAACTCGAAAACAACCTTGTCGGCACGGAAAACATCAAAGGAGAAATTCGAATAAAAAATGATACAATGATTTCACACAACAGGCCAGCTATTAGCCTCTCGATTGACAAGAGTTTCATCGCCCTCCATTCATTATAACCAATGTCATCGTGCCCTAAAGAATCAACAAATCCGCTTGCTTATCTCTGCTTACCCTAGGCAAAAAATGCTCATCTTTGAACTCAATCATGACATTGACCTAGTGAACGCCTACACCAAGTTTGAACATTCTAGCTTAATTAGAAGGAGAGTTCTTGTGTTCCAAAGTCCCGGCCCTTCAAATTGCTTCTATTTTTCATTTTCAATTCAAAATGGTGACCACCACGTGACCGAAATCAAAATTCTGATCCGATAGATTTTTAGGTATTCCTTCCAGGATTCCGAAAATATGACGCCCGAGTCTGTAAGTAAAATAGCAAAAAAGCCTTTTTGATTTTTCACGTTTAAAGATGGTAGCACTTCCGGTTCAATCGACAAACTCCATATTTTGTGTACGAATCAGTAATTACTTGTCTAGTATCGAATTTTTTTTTTAGGTCATTCTGACCTATATTTCGACGATTTTTTTGAAAACTTTGATCCTTAATTTCACCAAGGGGAGATAATTTAGAAAATTTCCAAGGACATCATTGAAGTCGCATTGGCAAGATCTACTAACATTCTAAATTTCACGAAAATCGCACAACTATTAAAGAAGTTGTCAAATTGGTAATAACTTCCGGTTCGAAATGACAGCGACGAATTTTCGAAATGAAAAAATCCGAAATTGCAGATTTGAAGTAAATGTTTCAAGATACTCAAAGAAAAAAGAATTAGTAAAATAGGTCAAATAGTCACAGAGTTACAGCATTGTAGGTCAAATGCATTCCTTCGTAAAATTCGGTGATTTCGGATTCGTAAAACGTTTTGAAAATATATTTAATCAACAGCCACCACCAATTTTTGGGGGGATAGGTAAAAGTTTCAGAACGATCCTATGGTTAGATTCTGAGAAATCCGATTTGTGGACAAAACACAAAAAAAAAATAACAATAATAATCTTAACAGAAACAATAAGCTTTCATATGTAATATGAAAGCTTAATAAAGCTTGCGAAATCGTAGGAGATAATTTAAAACGAAGTTAGTCTAAAATGAAAGTTTGGTATGATAGAAAGTCAAGAGAACGATCATTCAATCCAGGTAATGGAATTCTGACTCTTTTACCAATTCTTAATAAACCTTTGCGGACAAGATACTACGGACCATGTACTATTGATAAGAAATTAGGCTATGTAGACTATACAGTCAATACACCCGAACGACGTAAAAAATAAAATTGGCAAATACCTTTAACAGAAAGGGCAAAACGAGTGTCAGCTTTGTCACACCTAAAGGGTTGTGCCAGTACAAAGTAATGCCAATGGACATGAAGAACTCGGTTGATAAAATATTAGGCGACCTTGAACATTGTTGTATAAGTGGTACATTGGAAAATGATTTGGTATACGTTGAACTTTTCTTCAGTCGATTGGCGCAGATACATTTAACTGTAAATCTAGTAAAATGCGAATTTGGACATGCTAGAGAATGGTTTTCATGCCACGTTACAGGAGGTGGTGAAATAGAACCTATTACGTCTAAAATCGAGGTAATTGATACATTTCCTATTCCCAATTCAAGAAATGGGCTTATGAGAATTAGGGTCATGGTAGTGTATTACCGAAAACTCTGCTAGAAGTTCGCTCACATAGCAGAAGGCTGCTGCGCAAAGATATTAAATTCTTTTGGAATAGTGCTTGTCAGATTGCATTTGAACAATTAAACGTCCTTTTCACCATTGAACCAATTATGATGGCTCCGAATTTTGGAAAACAATTTAAGCTGGCAGTTGATGCTAGTGATTTATCTATGGGATCAGTTTTGATTCAAGAAGATCAAAACGGTATTGATCACCCTGTTGATTATTTTTCAAAAAGGTTTGATAAACTGTAGAAAAGGGGGGGTTTAGCCATAATGTTGTCTCTACAGCATTATGTTAAGGTTGCTAACTACATGTATCATGTTTGATTTATACAGATCATAACCCCTTAACATTTATTAACAAAATGAAAAGTAAAATTTAAAGACTTTTAAGATTGAGTTTGATGCTTCAAGAATATAACTTGATAACTGAATATTCCTGGTAAATTCAATATTATACCAGATGCTTTGTCAGAATTGTTTAAACATACATTATGCAAGAGCTAAATCTGCCTATTGCAGGTCTTTCTTTAGGCCTGAAATGTTATCTAAATGTGTGTGTTATATATCGTATCTTTAAAGAATATTATTATTAGATATCGTTTTATTATACAATTTATAATTCTATTTAGACTAGAGAGGATTTAGTATTTTGTGACCTAGTCAGAAATAGTTGTTTGACCTACATATGTGTTATGTACATGTATCATATTCTATTAAAGAATATCATTAAAGGGTATTGTATTGTTATACAATTTACTATTCCATTTTTGATAGTATTCACTTTTAAATATTTTGCAAGTTAGATGGAAGTTGTTGTTTGAACTATATAATTACTTCCCTTTCTATTAACTTTTACTAGAATTCGAATTGATACCGAAGTGACAATTTCACGTCAGTATTAAAAGGGAGAACCACGCCGGAAAATCCAGATGAACTTTCTTAGCAAACATCGGGACCTCCAGGTTAGCAAGCCAACATCTTACTCACTGAGCCAACGTGGCTCCATCACACATAAAAAATGAAATTCCTAAACTGTTTATATATACTGACGGGCTGGTGTATCATAGCTACATATAACACAATGTTTCTACAAATATTATGATTAAAATCATCATAATAAGAGAACATTTTAGAACACTGGGCTATATGGGTTACATAATCCAGTAAAATAAATCAGTGATTGTTTTCAAAAGACTCTCAATATTTCGAGCTACTGGTCTCTTTCTTTAAAATACTGTTCACACATTGGCCCTTACATACATGTACATGTACTTGAAAACAACCTGACCAAAAGACAACCAGGGGAATCTTGGATTGGACCTTTAGCTCTTAAAGATAGATCCATGTTTGCCATGACACCATTATGTTACCAGGCTCTCCACATCTTGCACCACAGACAAGTGGAAACTGGGCCGAAAGACCCCAGGAACATAAAAGGGCAAGCGCCAAGAACGCATCATGGATTAAAACTACTCTACTTCTACTCTACAGTCTTGTAAAGTTTGTTGCTTGGGGAATATTAAATTTACTTTATTATTTTACTTTGGTAACCAACCGTATCATTGAGATCTGATCTTGCCTGCACTGTATACAGATTCTTCCACCCATCGAAAGGACTTTCATTTAGGAGGTAATTCATCACAGTCTTGGATTTTATTTAAATGTAAATTTGTTTGTGAAAAGTTATAGGTCAGCCAGTCATGAAGAAAAAATGATACTTCATTTCTCGATTATTAATCATCTAGATGTTTGTAACAGTTGTAAGTCCGCTCCTTATCTGTAGACACCTTGAGTTGTAGGGATGTTTCCTATATGGATTATAAATGGATTATAAATCTTCATGTGTTGATTCCTCCAGATGTTTCTCCAGGTTAAATCTGGGGGCTCGGGGTGAAGAGGTGAGCCTGGATGTACGTGGTGTGAACTGGAAGACGGAAGGTGAGAGAGATGATCTCTGTCCGTTTATAGGAGATGAGTAACGACAAGATGAAGGTGTGGCTAGTAGATTTCCCATCACTAATGGATTCATTGAGAGAAATTCACCAGATAATCGACTCTCTTTACGTATTCTAGCAGGACTCGGCCAACTGAAAAAAAAAGTTAAAATTATTGGAGATTAAACGGCTATTTATTATTGGACTTTTGTCCAATCCTGTTGTATCCAAAATAGGTTGGTGCAAATATTATGTAATAATCGATACAATATGGAATTATGTTTTCTAACACAGTCCTATTTAATGTGATTTTAACACCACGGTTGATTCATTTCGATTATATACATGCATACATATTTACCAAAACAAAATAGATATCTTTTTGTTGATACAGTATATCAATCGAAAAATATGTTTTTTTATTTAAATGCTTGTGGGCGAGTATGTGTGTATATATTTATATATACATGTACATGTACAAATTTTAAAATAGAAATATCGTGGGAGATTAATCTTGTAGAAAAAAAATGCATTGTATTTTGTATATTTTGTGAATAAATATATCTACAAGAAATAAAATAATATAAATATTGTCTGGCCATACTTTAACTAAATCACAACTACATCCACATACATGTATGAACATCAGACAAAGATTGGGGTTATTAACTAACCTCTGTTGATTATCTGCCTGAAGAGTTGTCACATTCCTTCTCCATTTACCAGTTAAAGGGAAATAACTCATATCTTTATCATCTGCTACCAGAGCTCGAAATATATCTTGATCCAATTTACTGGCACGTTGACTACAATAATACAAACATTAACATTTATGAAAAGGGAATATGTTGAAAATTTCAGTAAAATTACTCCATTCTGAGCGGAGTTATCTCGTTTACAGAACAGAGTAGTCTTGATTGTCATTGCTACCATTGTTTCGATAATAAACAAAGTCTTGATTATCCATTTTTAAATTAAATCATTAACTGCCAATCGTGTTTAAGTCTGTTGAAAATCAAAACCAACTTAAGTTCAACAGAGTTGATTATGGGCCTGGCATGTAAATAAATGTCTAATTAATAATTTATATATAGGCCAACCGAAAGATCTGCATAAGGCAGATTCAGCTCATGTATAATACAATCTTAAGATTACATTCATTGACATTCTTATTTCATTACATGTGAATTGACTGACAGACAAATTTCACCAACCAGTCAATTTATTTCATATTGTGAGGCAGATTTTATTGCAGAGGGAGAAAATATCTGGGGAAAAAACCTACAGATATTTCTTGTAATGTTACATACATGTATAGCCACATGGTCAAACACGCAACGGATTTGAAAGACCTTTATACTGTATATATATATGATCTGTAGCCCCACACTTTAGATGACTGCTGTGGCACAGCAAACCCAAGAACATCTACACTGTGAAAATAAACTTTTAAATTGTTTCATTCATAAATAAATCCAATTAAAACCTACCCCAAAATAAAGAAAGAGTCTTTTAGATCTAGTCTAGTCAATAAAGCAGGAACAGATAACTCTACACAGCTCGGTACATCATCCTTATTAATACACAAACTCATAATCATAGAACTCTGTACTGACAATAACTTGTCCTTTTGTTGTTGTGTTGCCACGGAAATAATCAAATTACTACGAATAGTAACAACATTTGTTTCTTCGATAGATTCAAATATAACACAGTCCGTTAAAATATCGCAATCCGTGAGATTAGAACCACTACTTTCACTTTTAATAACTAACAACACCGGAACAGGAAAATCAGTACTTGGTTTAAAGTTTGATAAAGTTTTCATCATTTCAAAATTAAAATTTGATTGTTTTGTTTGAAGGAATAACGTTTCCTGGTTGTCAGCTAACGATGAAACCACGGAAACGGTACGTGACAGGCGGTTACGAGGGGTAAAGATGAGTTTTTGTTTCAGATCATCACATAAGTTTGTCAGCTGACTATTAAACGACATCTCGAGTCGATTATTAGGTGTAGAAAAAACATCCGAAACCGCTGATCGGAAAGAGTCATCATCACTACTTCCCAGCTGAAGTTTCTGAAATCCTTTCAGCACGCTATCATCGAGATTCAAGTCTGATTTCTTATCAGGGGTTCCAGAACTTTTACTTAATTCGTTATCTGGAGAGGTTGGATTTCCACTAAAAGAATCTTCAGAATTTTCACTTTTCACACGAGCATCTCTCCAATCCGGTGAGTCGATTCCCTCAGCTTGTAATGGACAGTTTTCCTTTCTTCCGGGTGTACTCGTTTGGTTTGTTTGAGAACTTGGAGAATATTCAAAATCATACTGACACGGTTCCTTACTTGGTGTCGACAGTTTGATTTCATCTGTTAAATTAATATTGATCTCATCACTTTCTGACCAAACAACTGGCGTATCATTTCGATTCTGCTGAGTGACTGTGTTAGCTAGAATTGGTTGAGTATTAATGGATGTTTCTGGTGCCGCTATACCATATTTTAAACGAGGCGGTTGCAGCAGTGGTCGCGACGATTTATTTTCTGGGTTAAATGTATGCACGACTCCTTCTTCAACATCTCTGATCGAAAGATCAGACCTTACACTGGAAGCCAGACTTGAGTCCAACAATCTTTCACCCTTATTTAGAGCAAAAACCTCTGATATTTCATTATCACTATTATTAAAATCTTTCACAACATCTCTATCAATCTTGTTATGCCGAAACAGATCATTTTTTAGTGGAGACGCTTCGGAATCAACGGAGAGGTTTGAATTTTGTTCCGTGAAACTATCTTGTGTGGAGTATTCTGAGGCTATAGTGGAATCTAAACACACGTTATTTATAAGCGTTGAATGAGCCTTGACCCACTGTTTGTAAACATTTGTAGCTAATTGTTTAGTTAAATAGTTTTCCAGCACACTAATTCCTTTCTCTGTGGAGAAATCAACGAATGCATCAAGAAATTCCCAGTATTCTGACCATGGTACGTGCATGTCTTGAGCTATCTGTCTGTAAAAGAAAATATAGGTTTTAATATTACAAAACATTTTGGGAGAACAATTTTCTCAGCAGCACCGCAGCTTACTCCTAATTCGATTTTCTAACTGTCAGGGGGTATTATACATGTACATGTATATAAAACACATACGTCTTGATAAAATATCTCCATTAAATATTATATTATACTGGTCTTGATAAAAGAGTCTCTGTAAAATATAAACATTACAGTCATATAAAGACCCCTCTTAATTAGTCATTAAACTTACATGTATTTACCGGTGGTCAAATTTGAGATGAAATGGAATAAGTTGAACATCCTACTTATCTGCACAAACTAGGATAATAAAGACTGACAGATGCCATGCAGCATGCTATGATGGAAATTTTCCCAGACAGTGGCACAATAGCAATTATTTTGAATACTTAAATGTACTGCCAATGATTCACACTGAGCCTTGGTTTTTGGTCCCATCCAACAACTAGACACTAACACCAGGATCAAACCCTGGACCTCCTCGTTAGTGAGCCAGCTCCTTACTAACTCAGTAACTGAGCCACTGTGGATCTCCAATAAAAATAAATCAATGAATGTACCTTCCGACTCTCTCCAACCCTTTATCGCCATCTTCTCTACGTATATTTGACAGATTCCCCTTCTTATTAGGTGATGGGGACGGTGGAGTTGTCCACTGACGATGAAACAGTTGAGCCTAAAAACAGAACAGTTATTCATTCACTTGATTTGACAAATTTTGTTGTTTATAGCTTGCAATGTCTGTGTAGTTTGTCTTGTCCACAGGTTTGTCTAATCAGTTTTGTTTTGAGTGTAGTGCAGTTCTCCTGCACTTACTATTTAACTCTTTCACTGCCCAGGCCTTTTTTAAAAAATTAGACGTATATTGCCCAGGTTTAAGGCGGGCGGGGGATGGGGAGAGGTCGCCCTTCTGTAATGAGATTCACGTTCACTCTCATTATCCGTCAGAAAATAGTCTCCCCTGCTATCAGAATCAGCTAATAAATCGGCTACTTGTTTCACAGAAAAATAATCCTCTTTGTGTTTCACAGCCATCTTCACTGAACAATAGAACTTATAAACAATCCTCAATTGAAATCCCCAGTGACGTTGATGTTATAAACAAGCCATGTGGGAATGACATTAACGGTACACAATGGTTTATTTACTAGCATTCTAATACTAGCAGACTAATTCACTAGCAGATGATCCAAGTTGTCTGTAGAATGAACTATGACACCAGTGGAGTAGCTATGTCATCTAGAATGACATTGGGAAATTAGGTCGTACATGTACGATCTTGGCAGTGAATGGAATGGAAATATATTATAATAGTCTATTTACATGGTGCAATATCTGTCCATAAGCATGCTCACAGGGCAGCCAAAAAAGATCAGAACTGTCGCAAAGAGAATGCTTTCTTAAAGTAACTATGCATCATTTGCATTTTTTGATAGAATTTCAAATTTCTTATGGCTTTATCAACACTATAATACATGTATACTCAAATCGAGAAAGCATAATCAAATAAAAATAATCTTCAGGCCTGGATTGAATCAAATTTAAAACAGGCCTATCAATTATGTTCGGCCACAACAAAATGACACCAGGCTTATTACAGCGCGAAGCAGCATAGATGGATGAAATTTCAATTCAACATATCTTTGTAAATTCTGAACGGAATTGAACCATTTTTGACCGATATTCCTATTGCAGTTTGTAAGGATCGCTAATGTGCTAAAATGATGCAATGTAACATTAAACAAAAAGGTTTAGAGTTAAACACAAAATTATCTTGCGAGTCCTTTATTTCCAGTGGCAGATCATTCCACTCTCATGAGGCTTAGTGAATAGTAGCACAAATTATTTAGCTGACAAATTCTGATTTTACACCTGGCAAAACAATGTGTTTTCTTTTACTGGTAACGTAACATTAGGTAAATATAAATTAGTAAAATAAATCAAACCTTTGATGGTGACATAGGACCTGCGAAAGCTCGGATTGCTAAATGTGGATCGGTTGGATTTTTGACTTGTAAATCTTGGAATTCCAGAACATTGTCAGGTGACCATGGTTGACCAATGTGTGGAGCCGTTGTATTATCTTCAGCACGCAAGAGTGGCACATAACATAAACCTATAAAATATATATTAACATACAAGCATAAAGTAATTACTTTCGTAATGGTATCTCACGCAAAAAAGTCCTCTGGCCATTCCTCGTCGTCCCTATTAAGCTGCAATATGAAAATACCTCTCAACCCAACCTCCTTTCTAAGGCTATTTTTGAGCCCTCATCTTCTATTTTTCACCATAATTCTTCTTTCTTCACCAAAAGGAATCCCTCCTAGCCACAATTTTTGTGATTCAAAAGAGAGAGAGAGAAATGAGGTTTAACGGCCACTCGACACAAACCAGGTCATTTCGGGACTAACATATGGTTTTAATTTTATTTCAATAATTCGCTTGTGCGTAGGGGTCTTTAGCAGTGGGAGGAAACCGGAGGACCCGGAGAAAACCCACGAGGTTGGACAGGCGACCCTACTCCTTGTCACGTACAACCGGGGATTCGAAACCACGCCAGTTGACTCAATGACAGGTCTTATGATACAGCATGTGATTCAAAAACATTAACAAAAGACTGCAAGATGTGAATGCACAAGTCTAGAACTGACTAACCAATTCAAACATATTTTGTATTTATTTTTGAATCGTAAAATTCTACTTGAAAATAGTGTTGGATTATTATAAATTTGTCTCAGATTTGGTGAGAAACGATCAGTTTTGACAAAGAAAGGAGAATTAGGGTGAAAAATAGAAGGTAGGGATTTAAAAATAGCCTTAGAACAGAGAAGGGGTAGAGCAGTATTTTTATATTGCGTCTCGTTATGGACGGAGAGACAGGAATTGTCAGAGGTCTTTGTCCGAAAGGAACTAGACATAAAGGCATCAACTTATTAAGTTTTTATCAACTGCTAAGGGTTTTTTATGAGCATGCCAACAAGTATACAGGTTGATCTCAGTTTTTTGAGAAATCCCAAGAAACTAACATTAAATTCGGTAAGCATGGTGACATGAATGTTAAGCTATAGGCCCTACCTTGTAAAAGTTCTTCTATTTTTGCCTTTAATTCTGGTGTAGGATTTTTACATCTTGTGCAAACAACCTGTAATATACAGAAAATGAAATGAAATACATCCTACTGTTCTGCTCCGACTGGGCTAATGAAGATGGGCATACGCCATACAATGTGCTATGAGGGAAATTTTGCCCAGACAGCGGCACTATGATCTACTCTTATATCTAATTCCAACTGCCAAGGGATCTTTTACGTGCCTGCCAATGTATACATGGACCTATTCACGGAACCTAGGTTTTTTGTCCCATCCGAATGACTAGACAGCTGTCCTTGTCAGTCCCTCCGTCCTGCACCACTGGTAAGGGGAAACCACGCTGGAAAATGCTTATGAACTTTGTTGACCAATGCAGGGATCGAACACGTGATCTCCCTGCTTGCGAGCCAGCGTCTACCCACTTAGCCACCGTGGCTCCTAATATAGAAAAACAAGTATAACTATAATATTGTATATCTTGTTGATGACTATAATCATCGTTCTTGCATTAACATAGCTTCACAATCTTATTCTCCCAGCTGCTCATTTGACTTGGGTAAAAATAAATTGTGTATTTCATTGGATTTCTTCTTTATGGGACAAAACTGAAACTTTATAATCATTTGAAACAAAAATTGGACTATATAGAGCTTGCCCTACCACTTATAGAAATAGAACATCATACATGTATATATCAACCCAATTCTATACTTAATGTTGGTCTGAAGCATAGAGGATTAACTCTTTTATTAACTGATGACAGGTTTAATTCCCTTTACATTTTATAATGGACAAAACATAATCAAGAATTGTTAGATATCATTATTTGAGTTAATCCAAATCTATTTTTATTATAACAATCAATACCTGTATCACATTAACTGAAATATTATGAAAGATTTACAATACACAATAATAACAAAGACATACTTATTTGGCCAACAAATATATTTATCAACAGTATTTGTTGATGTAATAATAAGTTTTAGTAAGTCCTGTTCCCAAACTCAAGTTTCAGTAAGTGACTGTTTCCCAAGTGATTCAGTAAGTTACTGTTTCCCAACTCAAGTTTCAGTAAGTGACTACTCCCCAACTTAACTTTCAGTAAGTGACTACTCCCCAACTCAAGTTTCAGTAAGTGATTGTTTCCCAAGTGATTCAGTAAGTTACTGTTTCCCAACTCAAGTTTCAGTAAGTGACTACTCCCCAACTTAACTTTCAGTAAGTGACTACTCCCCAACTCAAGTTTCAGTAAGTGACTGTTCCCCAACTCAAGTTTTAGAAAGTGACTGTTTCCCAAAGTAAGTGACTGCTCCATCACTCAAGCTTCAGAAAATGTCTGCCATCAAGCTTCAGAAAGTGTCTGCTCCCAACACACAAACTTTAGTAAGTGACAATTTACATGGTAGTATTTCTGGATTTGCAATACATATATTCCCACAAGCACTTGTAATGTTATTAATTTCAGCAAATATCATCGAACCCCACACTACAAAATACTTGTAAAGATAATTACTATTTTCAACAAACATATTTTCTGATGATTTGGCAATATCTTTTAATTGATGGATTTATAAGGTTGCAGCACTACAACTTCACATCACAATCTTGGTATATATCACTGGTAGACTTAACGTTATACATGTAGAGTTGATTTGGTTAAAATTACACAAACAATTTACTCCAAATCCTACTTTTATTTTAAACATTTCTATCAAAAACTGTTTTACTTCCATTTAAAACAAAAATAAAATTGCTATATCATTTCTGTGTGTAGGACCTTTTTTTTTATTATCATGGGGAAAATGGTCAGACTTATGACAAAAGAGGAATTTTTACATTACTGACCCATTGAATGTTTTAAGTCATTCATCATGAATACACAGGACATGATTCTGTGGAATACAATGATCTTTTTTATTACTGAGTAACATTTCAACTGGCTTGATAATGACCAGAGAATCTGAATCAAAACATTGTCCAGTAATAAACTGTACTTGTATTTCAGTTAAGATCGCTAGACCTATTATTGTAATGATAAAGGATTTCACACAGCTGACCTCTGTGGAGGTTTATAATGATATACAGTTTTACATACAACTGACCAGTGGAGGTTTATGGTTGACAAGACATCAACGATCTACCTTGTATAATAACACCTTTACCTGTTCTATTTATAACGCTTCAATTGACATATATCTGTACCTTATATAAACATTACAATAAATACAACAGTTTCACCTGAATAAATTTATAAAAAAATCAAGACACGTGGGCGATCGACTAGCTGAATTATGTAAGCTTATGTATGATTTTATCTAAATACAGATTGTTTCACTGTCCTAGATACTTTTATTTCACTGTCATAAACAGTTACAGTACATGTATATGGATCATTTCACTGTAATAACCATAATATATGACACAATGTGTTGTTCTATTATCAACTTACACTCAAGACAGTCAAGAGGACTTAAGGTCAACTTTTCATTTAGCACTGTGTAGTATACAGTATAAAGACCTGGGGAATATTTGTGATTAAGAATTAATGTATAACTAGTATAAGATTGTGAAATCGAGGGATGGATTTTTAAAGGTAAGAGACATCAACATTCAATTATTTAAGACTAGGAATCTATTTGAACCTGAAACAGTAAATATGTAGGCTATATAATTGATATACATACATGTATAGTCATTTTGTTCACTACATGTATACCTATCACGGATTATAGAACTGGTATTCTTTGTAACATACATATAGGAGAGAGTTATAATGTGACATAGGACTAGCCTTTTACCCTGTCCCTCAATCCTTTTCTGTGATAAAATACTATTGATATTTATTCATAGTGAAAGATACGTGCAAGCGCTGAAATAAGCGTCCGGACACGGACAATGTCCGGGCGAATTGACCCCTTTTGACAGGCCAAATTGCCTTTCGTCCGGACATAATTGTCCGACCGTGTTTTTGTAAAACATTAAGTCAAAAATATTCGAGTCGATCGCTATTTATTATTAGACTCGAAAGTCCAGGACCAAAAATATCAATGACCCGAGTCATAGTGAAAATGTTACTATTTATATCTCGGCCGCGTGCAGATAAAATCTTCAATAAGTTTTAGAATCGACTCTTTTACGCTGGTTATATCAACGACCCGAGTCATAGTAAAAATATTACTATTTACACATGTATCTCTCTCGGCCGCGTGAAGATAAAATAATGAATAATATTGAGAATCGGTTCTTTTACACTGGTTATTCGAGTCTCGTAGCTAGCTTTGCGTTACTTTCGTATATATGATTAGCTCTAAATCACACCTAACATGACATGTAATTATATAAATTATTAGTAATAAAAGTAATAATATTTTAAAATTAGTTTACAAGAAAATGTTCAAGTTGACTATGGATGTACATGTACATGTAATTAGAGACAGACTTTTTATACGAAAATATCTCACTTTGTTGGACACTTCCGATGTGAATGTAAATAGAAGAGCCGTGAAAACATGTCGAATAAAATAACTTCTTACTTTTCCCAACCCTCGAACACGGATATCCCGGCTAGTGGGACCGTTCCAGAAAATTCAAAGACTGGTACTGTGTCTTATGTCTCTCATTAAGACACTTCTAAACAGGGGCCGTCACCAGTTCGAAAATTACAAACACGAACCGTAGACTAGAAAAGTGGATCAAAAATGACTTGGCAGATGTCTATTCTTTAGTTAAATTTGAATCTTAATCCCCAGCCCCACCAAAGAGATTAATGACATTATTATATGAACTATAAAGTTGTATTCCATACACATATAAAAACTTTAAACTCCAGGTTGTATGTGAGTCATCAATTTATTTTATTAATAAATGTATGTATAATAATATATATAAACATAGTAAATTTCAACAGTTTTTTGGTTTAATATACTTTATAAAGTATTTGTCAGGCTGAAAATCTGAAATGTCCGGCCGAAAATCAGTTCAGCCTGACATGATGTCAGGCTGAAACTTGGCAGTTATTTCAAGGCTTGGATACGTGTATATACCCAAGTAAACAAACATGTTACATGCACACACCTTACAAGCCCAATATAATGATCAAATAGTGCACTCATTCCATCCTAACATTTATAGCTGACAGGTGGGTGCAACACCTACATACAACAAGCCAACATTGTAGCTGATGTCCACCGCCATAATCCCAAAATAAATAGATGACACATATCAATTAATTGCACGTTTATCTTATCGGAGAAATTGCTTGGTGTCCGACAGATAGGTCATTTTGAGACTAACATAAGGTTCAATTTTATTTCAATAATTCGCTTGCGTGTATGGATCTTTAAAAAATCGTACGACTCGTAGAAAACCCACATGGCTGGACAGGCGACCCTACTCCTTGTCACGTACAAGTCGTGGAATCGTAACCACGCTACTTGACTCAATGATAGACCTTATGATACAGTGCACACATTAAACCACTAAACCACCTACACCCACCCCCACAGTTGTTTCTGACAAAATGACATCAAATGAACTTAATTGTGTTGCACGAAATTTTGAACTTTGTGCCGGACAAGTATTAAAAATATCAAAAAAAATCCTGAAAAAAAGACAAATCTGTGGTGGATAAAATGACAACCACCCACAAACCCTAAATTTGTGCCAGACATTGTATGTGACTTGTGTACATGTATATAGAACTCAGACTTCAACTACTATATCAACATTTCAAACACAATCCATGTAAGGATTTTGGATACAGAGTTCAAATAATTGAAAAACTTCCTGATTCAGGACACCTCAGTAATAGCAAAATTGATCCTGCAGTTACACAAAAAAGAACTCACACAGAAGAAACTTGGATAATAAAATTACAAACCATTTTCCCTTATGGTCTCAATGATAGATTTAAAAACATCGATTATAGTAACCGTGATGAAAACACTTTGATTACAAGAAATTGTTACAAAAAACTTGATCATAAATTTCAAAAATAAAACGTTCTATAAAAAAATCGAAATTTCAAAAAGACCCAGAAAGTATTTTGAATGAATTGTATTCTGTATGTCAATGCCATACTTCTGATAAATTGTCCCGTGCAGCTTGTGTACTCAACCTAGCCCGACAAATTATACAGCTAAGAAACTTGGTGTCCTCATACAGGGTATCATCTATTCTAATCAACTTAATGAACGCTTTTCTTCCTCAATGTTACAATGTTATAACCGATTTGATAAATAGTAAATTTTCACCTAAGCATTCAATACAGCCTCATAAAGTGCAAAAGAAAAAACCTGACGTGTTATGTAAAATCCTTTTTACAGATAAACATATACAAGACATTGGATTGAATAGAATCTTTAGAGACCAATCAGTAATTAAATCTATACCAGCAGATACTATTCCTAAAATTTCACCTACAGTCGTATACAAATTTTTACCTCCAATTCGTAATAAAATATTTAACTACTATCAAACTATTGAAAACCTTAACGTACAAGAATTTATTAACAATTACGATTATACTACATGTCAATGTGCCAACTCTCCCTTTAAAGACAAGTTTCTTGACCATATACATTGTACTGACAGGAAACTTCGATATTGTTGAAGATAAAAAACTTAAAAAACTTTTTCGCTTTGGACCACAATTTCAAGAACAACCTAGTAAAACTAATTTCAAAAAGTTACGTAATAATCTTAAATCTCAAATCAGGAAATGCATAGTAGCATGGTCTGATAAATTTTGTGCACCATTAGAATCTTTTGGAGAATGGAAAAACACTGTTTTTGATCTCTTGTCAAAAAGAATCAAATATATAAAACTTAACCCAAGACACCCGCCACCCGAAGTCCTAAATAATACATTAAATAATATATCCGCAGTTGAATGTCTTGCTTCTCTTCAAGATAGATTTGTTCTAACGCCTGTCGATAAGGCCAGCAATAATATTGCCTTTATCTGTAAAAAATACTATATTAGAAATATTCTTACTGAAGTTGGACTTTGGCCCAATACCCATAATGACACTTATAAATGCATTACAGATTTAACTAAACTAGATATTTTACATAACCAATATACATTTAACAGGAGAAATGATATTAAAGACAATGTGAAAATAGATGCACTACCTTACATCTATTCTATACCTAAATTCCATAAAAACCCAGTAAAATTCAGATATATAATATCCTCCAGTATCTGCCAAACGAAACCATTAGCTATCACCAAAGGGCTTAAATTATGCCAAACCCAACATACCATTTGGTGCAGAATACTTCGTAGCTATACTGGAATTAATAGGGTTTTTTATAATTGATAAAAATAAACCTATAGCAGACACTTCAGAAAAAATCAATAAAAAAATTAATGCAAACACAATAGAAACGTTTGATTTTTCTGCTTTGTATACTATGCTTCAACATGCAGATCTTAAAGATAATTTAGATTGGTTTGTAGATAAAGCCTTTAATGAGCTATCGGGAAAGGCAGAAACTTGATGGCCATTTATGCAGAAGATGCTAAATGGATTATAAAATGTTGCAATGCCGACAAAGTAGTTTTTGATAAAGAAAATTTCAAAATATCATACATTTCCTCATTGATAATGCCATATTTGAGGTTGGGGATCAGATAATGCAACAAACCCTTGGTTTGCCAATGGGAGCTGACCCCGCCCCATTTATGGCAAATGCACATTTATATAAATACGAATTCGACTTTCAAGACCATAAAAGAAAAACAGATTACAAATTAGCTAAAAGTCTAAACTATACCTTCCGATACATTGATGACTAACACCTATCAATGATAACGGAAATTTCAACAAATATAAAAGTGAAATATATCCTCCTGAACTAATATTAAATAAAGAAAATTCTGGTACTATAAATGCATCTGTTCTTGACCTTAACATCAATATAATTAACAATAAATTTGGTTTTGAAGTAGTAAAATACCCGTCAATCTATAGTAACATACCAGATACCACGCTATATAGTGTTTTCTATTCACAGGCATTACGATTTTTGACAATATGTAACAATAAAGAACTATTTCTCTAACGAATAAAATCTCTTTACTTTAAATGCACTGCCAAAGGCGCTACACAATTACGCATTTTAAAAGAAATTTCAAAACTTCCATTACTTCAACATACCAAGTTTGACATTTCTTGTAAGTATATAACCGACTACATACTGGATAATAATGATCCAATTTAAATTTTATTTTAGATTTTCTGTAGTTACCTAACCCTGTCTGAATTACCTCCCTTAATGTTATGCCTTTATAAATACACTTACATAGTACGATTTCTTCAACATACCTGTTTTGCATTTCTTGTGTGGGGTATTATATATTAATATATTATATATTATTATTGTGATTTTTTATCACCTTCTAAGATATGACATCATTCTCAGTCAGCAGACGGCTGTCCCGAGACAGTCTACGTTTCCTACTTGCTTTGTATTCAGTTCAGTATTTTGTGTAGCATATAGCAGATCACGACTCATGCTGGCATTACACAATGGGTTCTTTGGGTTGTATTCCTAATTTTTTTCAAATTTGAGTGAAGTCTGTGTCAC